AAAAACAAAAAGACACGAGTTGGCAGTTTAATCTTTGAAAGGAGGACATTTATCTTTCTTAGGTACTCTTAATGGTGTATCTATCTTAGACCTCAATATAAGGGATTTGTTCCACGATATTCTGCTCTCATACCACCTGTGACACCCCAAGTACTAGTTAAGACAAACAGGTATCAGATACATATTTAGAATAACGAGTGCATGATAATATTTATGCAGCGAAATCAAAATCTTAACAAATTCCTTACAGATACATATATATTGTTCCAAATACATATATCACAGAGGCTAGAAGTGGCTATAAAATACAAAACATGTGGGTTACTTCTTTCACTACGCTACTGGAATTCATCATAGTGCGGGAATAGACATGCACTCAGACTTACAGATCCACGAGATCCTCATAGATTTCCAGGGGTAGGTCTGTTTGTGGTTCTTCATTTTTTTCCTCATCTGGGAGAGAATGGAAAGAGTTAGTTTCATATTCTCAGTAAGAAAAACAGTATTAAATTAACATCGTAAAATTTTAAAAGTTTATTATTTTATCTTATTGTTTAACTTCCTCGTTTACCTAACTCATCATTAGAAAAAATCATTTATTTGAATATCAAAATATAGCACAGAAAATCAATATACATATATCATGATAATAATAGAGAAAATCAAATAAATCATGAAATGCTCATATATTTCGTGTCATACTTCACGGAGTTGCTACAAACTTCCATCTCTGATGGCAGATACAGATACAGATTTCCAACTGCCCAAGTAGAATGACCAGATCATATACAGATACGGCAATTTGCTTAAGCCCACTTTCGACTAGCTAAACTATGGTACGATCTATGACCACTGTCGTACCAACCATAGTGGTCCTAACAGATAATCTATAGTCACGACATTACTTAGTCACGAGTGACTCCTACAGATAGTGCAATACTACTCTCGTCAGAGGGCACGCCATCATCCACTAGGAGCAGTCCTCTTACATTTTTCCAAACCAGATAGGGGAAGGAAAAACAGATACCCCGAAGGGTAAGGAGAACAGATATCCATCATATATAAAAAGGTTAACAAGATACTTGATACAATATGCATGTCAATACACATATACTTCGGACCATATAGGCTTCATTCCACTTTTTTTTTTCTTTTTCTTTTATTTTATTTTTATTATCACAGACTACGTATTACATTTATCACATGCAAATTCATCAAGTGTTAGTAAATCACACAGCATGCTTGAAAATCAGAATAATTTGACTCATTTGAATACAGAGGCATGCAAAATAGAAAAAATAACTATCACATTAAATTTGTTTATCTAAAAATACTCCTTAGGACGTTGAAAGTAATACTAGATTCCTTACCAAAATATCAATATTTTCTTTTTCTTCTCTCTCACTATTACTACCTCTCTCTCTCTCTCTTAATCTTTAAAAATAAAAGAAATAGAAGTATGGAGAGGAAGGGAAGAAGAAGGGCAATTTATAGAATTTTGGAAACATTGGATTCGCACCAAGTGGCAAAATCCAATGAAGAGAGAAGAGGAAAAGATTCTTTGCACGAAAAACGAAGGAGAAAAATTTCCTCCATTGCCCGAGGTGGCAAAGCCCAACCGACGTGCTGCAAGCTAGCCTCAGGCACAAAGGACCTGTCCGTAGGCCTACAGTGCCAGTTCGTGTGCGTAGTGAGGCACGGACTGCCTGCCTGCGCGCGACAGGATACGGGCGTAGGTCTTGTTTTAATTAAATATATTTAACTTAAAAACTTTTGTTTAATACTTATCGTTACAAGTTTTTCAAAAAATAACCTATGAAGACCTATATTTATACCACTTTTTATTTTCGTGCACAAGAGAATAAGAAAATAATTTTTCTTTCTTACTTGCTTACTAGTACCCCTAAGGGTCCATAGGGATGCTCTCCTACTTGTGAACCCAATATTCAATTTTAACAATTAACCGATCGTCCTCATACCCCGTTCAGTAATAGGCGTCAAATATCCAATTGCCTCGATATCTCATCCAGTATGAGGGTGAACCATATCTCCTACACCTTTTCGGTAAGAGACTTTTCAGTCCTGTTCGACTGAGGTAACGTTCACGGTAGGGTTCCCTATGTATCGGGCCCATCTGCCCTTTCGCTGGATACCCAGTAAGTCTTTCATATAAAGATTCACATCAACTAAACAACTAACAAACGCATACCAATATCTCATATTATATTTACATATCAATTAAATGACATTTATACAGACGATATAATTTATCATAATAAAGGATCAAGTGACCAGATAACCGAATAAACTAGATAAATCAATAAGACCATAGAAATTATAAATTAAGAACATGTACAATATGATAACAAACAAGTAGGATAGTACAGAAAAATAAACAAAAAATCAGAACATTTGTGAACTAACTGGTTTTGACTCCACTAGTAACTTGTAATTATTTTTAGGATTTTTTAAATTTTCACAAAAATACAAAATTATACATCGTTAAGCCTCAATTTACCGTAACAGGAAATAGGGTGAGAGATCTTTACCTGAATCAGTGTTTCGAAACGTCACACTGTCTATTACACCTCCTAACGGATCCCAAATTTTCTGAATTTTTCTTGTAGAATCCAAAACACTCATCACGTACCTAAAAATATCCCAAAAATTCAAAATCGATGTCCAAAAACTCTTGCCGACCAATTTTTGGGTTCCGACACAACGTTGGCTCCACCGCCCACGGTGATGGTTCGCCCCGGCCTAACCGATTTTGGCCAGTTTTACACGTATCCCTACGAAAAAATACGTTATAAGGTCTCGATTGGCCGAAAAACCATAAAAAAACTAAACTTACCGACGATGAGGTCTCCAGGTGCAGCAGCTCCGCCAGTATTTTTTTGCAGCTAGGTTCCTTCTTCGGCTACCTGCACACAAAAAGACGATGAAGACAATAATTAGAAAATCGTATGAAACAGGAAGCGGAAAGGGGCTCATCAAAGGAAGTTTTTAGTTTTGGCTGCGGCAGCTCCGCCGAACTCTGCTCGCAGTTTCTGGCTCACACATCATCCCTCTTACTCCGATATGGCCACAAAGAGGTTCGAAATCAAATTCTGAACATGTAGGGAGAAATTTTACCTTTTTTGACAGTCGACGGTGGCTCCGGTGCAGCATCGGTTGGCGATCGATCTTCTTCTCCAACGCCTGGTTCCTCTTCTCCGGCGAAGGCTAGCAGTCAGGGTTTGGGTTCCCTTGCGACGCGAGGTATTTATACCCATCTCGCATATATCTGGACCATCCATTTGCATTGACGTGGAACGAGGAGGGCTATCTAATCTTTGCCTCTTTAGGCCGATTGCGTGGATAAATCTAGACCGTTCATCGCGATTGATCTCATACATCCGATCGCGCCTAATGAGGAAACGAATATAAGTCGTTCACGTGCGCAGGATCGAACTTAAACCGTCGAATTGCTGGGTGCACGGATCGCCTGCGTGGTGCCAACGTCAACGTATTTTGACACACGGCGTACTCCGATTCGTTGGAGCTGCTAACTACGTCATCCCGCATGGCAGAATTTTTTCTTTTTGTACTTTAACCTTCTGTTTCTAATTTTTCTTTCAAAAATACTCTTCGAACTCAAATTTTTACTAATTTTTTTAAAATTATTTTCAATTTTGTCCCTAATTTATTTTTTTCAAAAATTTAATTAAATAAAAGCAAAATAAATTAAATAATTATTTTTATGTAATTATTAGATAATTAATCTAATAGAAAAATTATCCCGAACCGATTTCCGTATTCTCAAAAAAAAAAACTCTCTATTTCTTATAGACAATCAACAACAAAACATCATTACATTACATGACTCAAACATAATCCAAAAAGAAAAACACTAATGACTATTCATCTTTTCTTTTGTTAGAGAGAGAAATCTGGAACAAGAAAGTCAGTTTGGCTTATAACTTAATCTTCAACATTACTGTCATGGTCTCCTCATCTGAGCATGAGTTCTCGTTCAATCAATTCCAAAGATCTCAGAACTTTTTGGACACTAAAGTTGTCGCCTATTAGATTAGCTGAAAATAAATGCACGGTCAATCAACTACCCAAATCTATTTGCCGCTATCATTCTCAATTACTTCTCAAGATCAGACAACTTTTGGGATGCCAAACTTGTGGCTTATGTCAAGCCGATCTGGGTTAGGTTGGCTGGGAATAGGTGCACGAAGATGACGAGACATGATATAGGGGAGCAAAGTACAATAGCCTAATTTTATCTTGCCTAATTTTTAGTCCAACATTATTACTAAGTACCAAGCCATTTTTCATCCAAATTATTTTTATATAAATAATTCAACTTATTCGTCAAAAAAATATTCAAAATTTAAATAGAATTTATCTCATCTAACGTATTATCTTAAACAATAAGACATAAAATCAGTACGTAAACATAAAATCGGTACGTATTTTTCTTCTTCGCTCTATTCGCCTTTAATACAAGCTAATACTCCATCCCGCACGCGGTGCTTTTCAGAACCAATAGCAAATAGCATTATGTTCTTGATTTTTAGTTGCATTTTCTTTCCTGGTCCATCAAATATTTAAGCAGAACCAATAAATCCATCAAGAGCTCAAGGGTATCTTGGCTCTTCATGATAATATAGAGCATTAGCTTCATTCCTCACTTTGTTATTTTTATGTATTTCAGACTAGTTTAGGTCATGGGTTACTTCATTGGCCTTTGACACATATGTTTTTATTCTTTCTGATGCACGTGATCTGGATTCCTTTTGATTTCTCTTCTTCTTTTTTTTTTTGCAGACTTTTATGATTATTTTTTGGTCCCTTTTCATTGGTTTGATGATTAAAAAAAAAAAGTAGTTATTATCGTATATTTTCTTTGTTTGTATTTTTATTTACATTCTATTCTATTACTGTATGATAATTTAGGACTCACGCACACATGGACGAATATGTATATAGATGAATACTTGGTACAACATAGATTATGCATTGATTAGACTTTTTAAGTCAACTAGATACTGTCTTCATATTCGAACATACATACAATAATACAAGTACGTACATATATTGTTGATTATAATAAAATAAGATGGCAGAATGTGTATCTGCTGTAGGTTCTCGTGCAGACTCAGTTCACTTCAGCTTGTCTCACCAACTGAAAACATGTCAATAGGCAGTTCAATAACGATTAACTATAAGCCAATTACATAAACATATATATATATATATATGTGTGTGTGTGTGTGTGTGTGTGTGTGTTTATATATACATGTGTATGTACGTAATGGAGGAAAGGAAAGACCTGGAAATAAGCTTCAAGCTTCCTCCTTAAAACCGCATACTCTTGTTTCACTTGTTGGAAGCTCCTAATACATCTATAAGTTACATCAACTTCACTAATCAGCTTCATTATTGCTTCAAATCTCAGAAGTTGACTGTTAATATAATTACTCTTACAATTATTTGAAGAGAAAATTAATTTAAGTCTGATACAAAATTAAGAGATACCCGTTACCATCCAATCAAAAAAGAAAAAGAAAAGAATATTTTAAAGACTTACCCTTCAGCATCTTTTGCAATGCAGTGTTGCCTGAATACTGTACATTCATTCTTCACCTTTTTAGCTCCAATGCTGCAACCAACACACCAATATCCTATTCTCATTTAATTCATTACATATTAATTACTTGACTTATTATTATCATAGTTTACATATTTCGTGCATAATTATTTATATGTTCTACTCGATAATCATAAATTTTGTATTATGACTTGTTATTATAAAAGTAAAAGTAAAAATTATCGAGAATATATAGAGATAAACTACGATTTAAAATTTTATTTATCAAAAAAAATTTATTAAATTATATAAAATTATACTTATTACAGTTTAGTATTTAAATTAATCCATCAGTTGG